TAATGAGTTGGTCAGTTGTTGGTATTAATAGATTTTTCTACCTATACATCTTGATCCATTATTAGACACGATCCCTGTATTTAGTACTAGATGGTTTCCATAGTTTGTATTTAGATGTAGCTCTATCTTTAGTTTATCTTGTCTCTAGTTATATTTAGTGTATGATGTCATTGGCTAAGTTTAGTATGAGTTTGAGTATATTTAGAATATGATGTCAGTTCTTAAAATAGTTGTGCCTATATAAAGGGTTGTTAGGGAGTTCAACGGGGAGGTTTTTGAGTAGATTGAGAAGAGAGAGAATCCTATGGAGAGGATGAGTAATGACTCGGAGAGTATTCGGTAGACTTGCGAGGAGTCTAGTGGAGTATTTTGTAGTGTATAGAGTATTAGTTAGTGGATTTAGTTGAATTAGTGTAAACCTCAGTTGTTATTTAGTTATATTACTTTGGAGTGAAATTTCCGGACATATAGTAAGTTGATCTTAACTATATGTATTAGAAGGAATATCAGTCTTCTTCATTTGATCTTAAATTGGACTATTTCTAAGTGTGTCAACTTTATTTGGATTACACATTGTCCTCCTGGAGTACATTTTAGGTAACTTTATTCACTTGAACTTTTGGCAGATACATTAATTAAATTCCTGTTAATAAAACTTTAGTTAACCTTATCAAAACTTGTGTGTTGTGATTTTATCTCTAGCATTTGTCAGAACGACTGGACTTTCATTTAACATAGAGGAATTAACAACTATATTAATAGCGAGATGGTGTCAGAAATGGAAACGTAACATATATTTAGGATGTTTTTGATAAAGTACTAAATATAAGTTTGGAGCTGTCCAACTTCTTTTTTTACTGAAATATAAAGGCGTTTTTGGGCGTAATTCTGAATCAAGTACAGCATAACACATTTGTTTTTGATAGGATTTAATATGATAATTGATACACGCATGCATATACTGCATCTAAGCCCATATCAGTAATATTACAATTTGCATACAAGTTTGTTACTTCCGCTAACGAAATTATGTCCAGCCAAGTGATTATATTCAAGTTCAAAATTGTTCCAAAAATTGTCCAGTCCAATTTCAAATTGCCTGATTCGAGTTGCTTATACGACCCCCTCAGGAAGACTGTTCCAAACGTCAACAGACCGAAGACCAAACGAGTTTTGTATTCGTCTGTTTATTTGTTCAAAATTACTTCACGCAATTATTTACCCAACAATCATATTCGTATTTACATGGTTAGTTTGTTTCGTTTTGAGTGTGTGTTTTTTTGGAATTCCAAGTATTTCCATGAAGTCGCCAATTTTCTGGTTATGGAGACGAGATCAAGCCGACAATTTACTTGGGCCCAGCCGTATAAAAAAATAACACAAATCGTATTTTCAAAAATGTAAAATTTAATTAAAACTAAAACAATATGCTAAATATTTAAAATTGATTATATTAATGGTAAAAAGATGAAATTATGAATAAACATTTAATTTTCAATTATTTCTCATACAAGCAGTTTAATTTATTTCACTAACTATTCGTAGGCCAATTACGCTTTGAATAACCAGATACCTATATATTACAGGTCTCTGGAATAACTGGCCCCCAGCTGAGGTCATTTACCTATGATTGACCAGTGGTCAAGGATATCAGAGACGACACAATTAGGTGTCGTGACCTCCATGGGGTACCTGTTTGATGGTGTTTTGATATTTACCTGAGAACGTGTGACGACGTGTCCCGCTGAGTACGAGGATAAATAAGAAACGTTTGTCGGAATAATTAGTACTACTTGCTTACTGCGGATTCTTGTTCTGAAATTGAATACGTCTCTATTAAAACACATAATGTGCTTGTCAAAAGAATCGTAATTAATTATACACATTGTTTAGAACCTCTGACATTAATTCTTCAATTTGTGGAATTTTGTCAGTGTCCTGTAAATGACCTCCACCCTCCCCTCCCACCAGCGCATTCGGCTTATTCACAGCTGTTGGTGGCTTACAGCTAGTTTGGTAGTAAACTCTATAAAGGAAGAAATAAGTCGTTTATAGCAAACAGCATGTGCTATTTTTGTTTTCATTGTTGTAATAAATTAGATGCACATATGTTAGAAAATAAACAATTGACCTAGGCGCTGCATTCTTTTTCAGCTAAATCGGCATATTTTAAACGAAAAAGGAAAGAGACAATGATGATTGTTATGATAAAAGTTTGGACATATTTTTATTATGCAACAATTGTGTCTTGACTTCACGTAGTGCAGTCGTCTCTGGTGAACAGTATCTTCAATTCAAATCTACTATTCTGTAAAGCCTTACGACTGATGAGATGTAGTTACAATTTGTACAAAGTTAATGCAGTTGTTCAGGAGAGTGACAGTTGTAAACTGATACATGCACAGACTATGGAAACATGTGTCGGACTATAACGGCAGAGAGCGGTGCTTAAATGCAAGTCTTTTGTTTACCAACATTAGATAATTATAAACATTTTATTTTTTGATAACTCTTTTACATTGGTAACGCTAAGTAAATGGACGAGGTTGAATACACTAGGACGATGAGTATAGTAAGACTTCAAGTATCTGGCTTGCAAGTTTTAGTAAGAAGGACACTAAATGATCAAATGGAATTCGTCTGCAACATTTCCATTATTTATTCCCTATTTGCTCCAGCTACATAAACATGTCTTCGCTCCTATATTAAGCTTGTGTGAAGAGAATATATAGACGAAATACTTTTCTTTTACACTTGGTGAATTGTTTTTTTTTCAAGTAAAATTGCAAACAAAAATGATATACTTGGCGTTGATACAATCACGGAATTAGATTATCTAAGTCCTTGATATAATGTTCCTTTGGAGGAGTTTCGTACATTAGATAACATTTTTTGGAAATATATGTATCTCACAGAATCTATCTTAAAGACAATACAGTCTGAAATAACTGGCATCCTCCTTGTAATTTTTTTATTGGGCCGAGATAGAGATTTCTCCGCCCATCGATTTTTTAAAGGAGATAACAGTATCACCTAAGTTAATATTGGTTGGGCAATACATAATTTTAAACTCATCATATGACCTTTTTTTGCTAAGGTTAGATATTAAAGTCCGCGCTATTTGCTGATTCGAAAATCAATGATCATTTTCCGTGTTATTATTGACTCTAAATTCATTGAAAAATTTGAAATGTCATATTTTGATGCATTTTCCCCCCTTAATGTAACAAAGCGAGTTTCTCTATATAAATATATGTGCCCCTCCCCCTGAACCCGTCAATGTCAACCCCACGATTTAAATATCGTGGTTACAGAAATGTAAAAATAACGTCTATAAAGATATGATTTTTAGCAATCTTAACTCAGATGTATTGAATGTTAGACCTGTGTCAGTGGGCGTGGTTCCTGTCAGTGGGCGTGGTTATCCTGTTGAGGAGGATGAAGATCACATTTTGCTCAAATGTTCTCTCTATAATATCCAATGACAACTTCTTATGTCTGCCTCCGGATGTTGCTATCTGCTAAATGTACAAACATACTTCTGTATGTTTGTCTAAGACTTTTTTATTTTTTATTTTTTATTTTTTTATTACTTCCAGACATATCATACACATGAGGAACCGTCTGAGGATGGAATACAACAGTTACGGTCCTTTACATTAATACACTCTTAATTAAGCATACATTTTCAAGTTTTATCATGATTAATATTCTTTGCAACTCTGTTCTGCAAGAAGGATTTGAATTAAAATATATGTATCTAACCTTTTTTGTTGCAAAATAACCATGTTTGTCTATGACTTGATCGAACTAAACTTGAATATATCTATATTCATATTAAATAAATCAAAGTATTATATAACAGATGCTTAATTCTGTTTTAATTTTCACTTATTCGTTCCGTAAGAATTTTTACTAATTTGTAGGGTGATGCCACAGATCATGGGCGACTTGTAACATTTTGGAATGTATATAATATCATTTTAATGTGCTTGCCACCAGTTCATGTACTGGTCAGTGGAACTACGGAATTAGATTAAATTGCTATCTAAGTCCGTGGTTGTTTTGTATTTCAATTGTGGCAATAATTCAATCCATAAAATAACATTTACATTTTTTTATTAATTTTCAACATCTCGGGATTTTATATTTTTCCTGTTAACATAATTGTTAGTGTTTTTTGTATGCACCTTTTGTCAATGTTAGCAGAGGAATTTCAAAGCTTTGCCTGGTGCTCATTTCTTATTGTAAATAAGATATATACACTGGAGAGTTAGTCTTAAATTAAATGAATTTTCTTCATAATTTCGTACATTTCGAATTATTTTCAACGTTATAATTTATTACTTAAAACACGGAATAACATTATCTAAGTCCGTGCTTAAAAGAACCCAAAATCAACGAGAGGTAAACTTTAACATGTGAGTTGGTCCTTGATTTTGAAATAATCATTTTGAGATGCCCCCTTTTTCATACGGATATCTCGCGTTATCACGCAAGGTGCCCGTAAACATCCGGGCATTTCATGTTATTTCAAAAAGACAATGATTTCTCCAAACCGGAGACACTGATGGTCCACTGACGGAGGAAATTGTAATTCGAGACCATCAGCGATTGTCACGGGAATTAACATAACAGAAAGAGGACATATTGGTGTAGACATTCAGTCATATTCACGTTTATTTGTTTTATACTAACATTTTAGAGCGGATACAACCAGGCCGTAAATATGGGATGTGCTGTTTCGGCCGATGACAAAGCGGCAGTGGAGAGATCGAAACAAATTGACAGAACTCTTCGACAAGATCGAGAGAAGGCTGCAAGAGAGGTCAAACTACTTTTGTTAGGTAAGTGGTTATTAGCGTTGTCTTACACAGCTTAATTGATATGTCAAGAGTCTCAAAATCTAAATGGTAGTCTTCATTTCCGGTAACACGGGACTGTCATCGGTCGCGAACCCAGCCCATGTCACAAATGCATGACGGCACACATGTATGTAAATAAAACACTTTCTCAAAAAAAACTTTCAGGTTTTTTGTTCACTAATGAGGACACACCCTTATTCAACGCATTCCTTCTTGTGACAAAATGTCTTGTTACGTCGGATTGTGAGAAACCATATTATCTAGGTCAAATTTGAACACATTTTTCATGCCTACATGTTTTTTGATATATCAAAGAGATTTTTGGTTACTTCAGGCTAACGGTGTACAATTCAATTTTCTCCAACAAAATGTTATGGTACACTGTAAAATTTAAATCGCAACTGCTCAGCACGATTTTTTAGGTGGATGAAATCTAATTTGCGATTCAGATCGTCACTTGTGTATTGGGGACATGTTTTAGATGTTATCATGGCTATCAGATTTCATTTACAAAGGTTATGTAAATGTTATTTAGTGATGAGTTTGAAGTTACGGTTGTAATGCTCAGCGTATAATAGAATAAAGTTTAACGGTTTTTATTTTATATGTTTGAAAACTTTTGAGGAAAATTTCGACAAAAATGTTACAAGCTGGACTGTGAATGTGGTTTATGTATGTACAATATTTTTTAATGCTGACCAGTGATCTTGCAAGGCCATATATCTATATAATTAAATTAAGAGAATTGTATAACCTTTCAAAATATCATTTAAAAAACCTGAATGAACTGAATACAACATGAGCATAAAGGTGCAGGTCTGTAAATACCACCCTATAATACAGTACGTTCCAGTATGATAGAGAAACAAGATAGTCATCTCCTTATAAGTTTCAGTGAAATTTGTTTACCATTCAAATTTGGGAACATATCAAATCTGGATAAATTTGTGAAATATATATGAACATAAAATATCCAAATGGGAACAGACAAAATCAGACACAAAAGGAATCTCTGAAAATATGTAAACTCTTAAATTAAATCAATAAATGTGTAACAATAAATAAAACAAAAACTCAAAAATAATTAATTGTAATGCATATATTTGATATAATGTATTGTACTGTATTTAATTCACTCTGATGGTTCGGTTATTACTTAATAACTCAATGTTTGTAATGTCACTAATGTGTGTATACGTATCCAATACACGTGTATGATACAGTTACCATATTCTACCTCATCAACACCCTGGCCATGGGTGCTTTGGAATGTTGGAAAATAAGAATGAATGCAGAATTTTCTGCTAAAAATGACCATGATATGCACTTCTCTTTCCTGTAAGTTGGAAAAATATGGTGAATGATAATAATAGTTGATTATAAGGGAATGGGCTGGTTCAATACAGTAATTTTATATGTGTATCCCCAGTGTGAATAAAACCTACAAATATATATACTGTCTTTACTATTTATTATATTTTATTGATTAATAACAATCAAAGGGATTAGGCACATTTGCAAATTCTCATAATGTTTATTACTAGGCCCTTCCAAATGTCAAGTCGTCATATAATGAAGACATTGATGAATCTGACATTTTGTTAGGAACAATCAGATTTAGTATTTGATATAAAGTATCACCAACAACATTGATTATTCTCTTTTGCAAGCATGTAACTTTTGAGTTTCACTGTTTACGTAAATAGTCATGCTAAAAACAAGATTAAGCACAGACTTGGATGTTATCTTTTCTTCAAAGCTTTGACGGCTGTCCTAACAGTTGAACATGTGTTCAACAGAAAGCGCAATCACTTTTCCTTTTTGAGTCATCCTGTATTTTAATCATTTGTATCTTTAAAGAACTTTCTTTTTATAGCTTTTTTTTTTTGTTTGGAGAGAGAACGTTTGACTTTGAATCAGTGGCGTTGATTTAAATAGACAGTTTCCAAATTAGAATTTATTTTCCTTTGTATAATAGTTATTTAAATGGTTTTCAAATTGATAACAACAAACGGATTGGTTATAATTGTTAATGTTATTGGCTATAAAGTATAGAAATTCAAAAGCATGTATTCAGGGTCAAATTGTATTGAAGAAAATGACATTCTGACCATAGCTAAGTGAAGGTACCATACTGTAGCTTTTAAGTTGACATGAAGCTATGTTTATGTTGTTCATGTTAATGTATATAAGAAATATAAGCTATCGCCTTGCGACTTTTCTACATGTACATGTCTATGAATGTAGTTCACTGTTTCACTGTTTTACCTCCAAACTACTTTGTAGTTATGTTATATCAATTAATAACATAATATTTGAAAATTTTACAGGTGCTGGAGAGTCGGGCAAGAGTACTATTGTAAAACAGATGAAGTAAGTAACACTCTGGCACATGTTTTAGGATCCAACTTCGTGTGGAAACAAATAAAAAATATTATTTAAAAAAAAAAAAATCAGAGTGCATACAAATAACATTTCATTTTAATATTCAGGTATACACATAAGGTTTCTACCTTTAAGTTTAAGGTGTCCTGCATTCAGAAACAGAAATATTTGATACATCTATAGAATTAGGAAAATTTCCACTTTGGATATATATATATTATAAAAGCAGAAAAATGATCCTTACGGACAAATAGTATATAAATAGAAAAATTCTCAACAACAAGTCTTTAGTACTGTCATCTCTTCTAGGAGATTCTTCAGACTGTTTAAACTATGATGTCACATAATAGTTTGCTATAGCGACGTCCGCCATAGCGATATCACAGCAAAAATACATTAATTATAGTCTTAAGACAAAGAGTACTATTTGTTTAGGATTTAGAACTACTAATAATTATACTATTATTTACAAAAAAATTATAATATGAAAAAATATATATATACACCCGGTCCATTTTTTCCAATTCAAAAGCCTAAGATGTCATTTTCAAAAGTATGCATAAATATTATTACTATTCTACTTTATATAATATATGCAGATCATGATCACATGTCTTTTGTCCTCTATGTAACATATGTGTCCTTATCGTCAAGTCTAGTTGTCCTATTTGCTATTTCCCAATATCACTCCAAAACAAAGTTTTAAATTGAAATCGGTGATACACATTTTTAGGTCACCTGAGCTTCGATCAGAAATCAAATATGGCCACCACGGCTGCCATTTTGAAAACTTATTTCAAACTTAAGGTCAAGTTCTGCTGGGCCGATTGAACTGAAACATGGTAGGAATGATCGACTAATGGTCCTGACAAAGTGTTGTTATTTTTCGGGTCGATCAGAAATCCAATATGGCCGCCAACTTGAAAAACTATTTCAAACTTAAAAGTCAAATTCTTCTGGGACGTTTGAACTGAAACTTTGTAGGAATGATCGACTAATGGTCCTGACAAAGTGTTGTTATTTTTCGGGTCGATCAGAAATCCAATGTGGCCTACATGGCCGCCAATTTGAAAAACTATTTCAAACTTAAAAGTCAAATTCTTCTGGGACGTTTGAACTGAAACTTTGTAGGAATGATCGACTCATGGTCCTGACAAACCTGAAAAACTTAAGTTAACGTTATACTTAACTATTTTTTACTCAAATTGGTACATATTTCAACAACAAAAATAAATACTGTAGGTCTCGGGTGACCGTTAAGGCCCATGGGCCTCTTGTTATGAAAACTCTTTATTACTGCTAGCTATATATATCTTACGGCTAGTCATTTTGTCTGTAGGTTTTTATACTCTCAAGTTTAAAGTATGTCATGCATGAGAAAAGTTAGAGAAAAGTAAAAATGATATGTGTTGATACAAACACTGGGAAAACGACAGAATGACGGCAAGGTGTATTTATGTGACACCAAATCAATATAATGCGACGGTGACGTCATTACTGTGTGAAAGTGGTGAACACCATTGATATGAAAAGTTGTATAGCTGATCATCCATCAAGTTTGTGTATAATGTCAACAGTTATTAAATTCTGTATCTTCCTTGAATAGGATTGGACAGAATATTGCTATAATCAGATACTTCACTAGAGTGTATACTAGCTATAGCTTAGGCCAAAAAAGAAAAGGTGTCTGTTTAGGGTCCCCGACCGACCCTAGCGTTTTACCTCTGACCCAAAACATTTTGATGAACAAAAACAAAATGCTGATTTTCGAATTTTAGAAAGTTCCTTGCCTTTTAAAATGGCTTCCAGCTCCGTGTTGGCAATAAGTCATCATATGGAGCACAATTTGCCTCCAAATGAACCTTGTTTATGTAATTCTTTGTTTTACATACAATAGCAGGGTCATAATCACATGACCAAAAATATACACAAAAAAAAAAATCAAAAAAATCTGACATACCTACACTAGTTTTTTTGCCAATGCAACCCTAAACAGACTAAAATTTTTTTTTGCCTTATCCAGTATATATACAACCTGTTGTATTGATGTATGGAGTAAACGTAAAGTCTATAAAAAGTTGTTCAAAGTACATTTGCAGATCATGCTACTCCATTCAATGAAGAAACGATGCAAAATTGATGAGTACACTGTACTTGAATTGAATCATTCCTGATTCCATGACTAATTTCCAGTATTATCTAAACCCCAACAGCTCTTGTGTTAATTGATAATGCCAAGTGTGTATGTGTCATTTTTATTTTTATTTTTTTCTTCCCAGAATTATCCATGAGAAAGGATACTCACAAGAAGAATGTCTACAATACAAGCCGGTGGTGTACAGCAATGCTATCCAGTCTATGATTGCTATTATCCGGGCCATGGGACAGCTCAAGGTTGAATTTGGCCACCCAGACAGAGCGGTCAGTTGAAATACGATAATATTCCTACTAGTTAGAGATTAAGAGGATGTCTGTTTTGTGTTTTCATTATAATACTGTAATGTATTTGTCGAGGGAAGGGGATTTCACACAGAGCCTGAAGTGGTATTGAAATAAAACTATTTGATTTTTGATTTATTAACATATTTTTGTAAAACTTTTTAAAAAATTGTGGGTTAAAACTGGCTCTGGGATCATCGACCCGCATCTGTAACAATACAAAACATAGATTTTGTTATCATTTTTGTCTTGCCACGAAGAAGTAGCGAAGGCTGCTTTTTCGGCGACAGCATAAACATTAAGTTTTTGCGTTTAAGTTAGTTTCACTGACAATATAAGTGCTAGACCAACCAAACTTGGACCACAGATGTGTCTTCGGTAGTACATCTCAACCCGTGAATCAAATGCTGGATGCATCCTACCTTTCATGGTCTATTGACTTTGTCAGCATCTCCATCAACATTAAGTTTGTATTTAAGTGCTAAACCAACCAAACTTGACATGTGCCTTGATGGTCAAATCAGGGCACAGACGAGACATATCAATCTGAATGATTTGTTTTGTTGTGATAGACAAAAACAAAATCTGTTCGTCCAACACTCGGAGATAAAATAGTTCCCACTAAAAGGTCCACTCAGGTAGGAGACGCTGATCAAAACCTGTGACGACCATATGACTTTTTATGTATCCGTACCCTGCATTCCGGACTGTGTTAAAAGTCGGTAAATTGTACACATGCAAATTATGATTATATTTTATGAAATTATACTGCTTTAAAAGCTGCAAATAATATATATTATGTGTTCACATTCATTTTCATAGTTAATATTTGTGTATGTATATGCAGTCGGGGATTAATGCAGGAATAGAAAGTTAGTACCCTTTTTTGAAATCGGGGAAAATATGCGCTGTAGGTGCATGACCCATCCAGGGAGAGCTGCAGGCTGGAGCCAGGGGCAAAGTACAAGAGGGGGGCATGGATTACATCTTTAATTTTGTTTCTCGCTATCATTATAGACTATAGAATATATATAAGCAGTGACAATTAACAACAACACGGGGAAAATGAAATAAATTACTCAGTTTTGGAACTGATGGAAAATTTAAAATATAGAACCAAGAAAGTTATTCATGTGGTAGTATTTTAGTTACAAGTGGGGAAATTTTAACTGAAATAGGGGAAAATAAAGCTGAAATAGGGGAAAATCATGCCAAAATTGGAAAGGGGAACTGGCTTATAGTCGGCCATAAAAAAGCCTGTCCACATTCGGCCATAAAAAGACCTGTATATATCCTTGGCAGTGTCTGTTTCACATGTATAGATGTACCTATTACTGCACATGTGTTCTACATTCGACTGTCTTACTGAAACCCTGTTGTATCACCACACGTTATACCGCCAACATTGACACTGGACAAAAGATGGCGGTATAAAGGGGGACTACTGTATGTCTATATATATGTATCTGTATATACCTAAAATATCATATTATAAAGCGTGTGATTATTTAAGCGTATATATGTCGCCTACACAGACGACTGGTATAACACAGTCAGCTTTACAGTAGGTGGTATTGATTGATGTCTACCTGTCTAAGAATGCACAGGTACACATCACTAAATAACTGCTGGAATCTGATATAGTTGATTATACTGACCATTACCTGGGGCTAGTTGTACTGACCATTGGTCATCAACACTGGTCAGTTTGCTTCAACACTATCAGCTATACATATGTGCATCCAGCCTTCCTTCTTGCATATTCTTATCAATTAAATCTTCTCTTTTACTTCTCAATTTTAGTTCTAGAGTAAGCTATTTGCCCTAATTGTTTTCATTGTCCACTCTGTAGAACTATTAAATTAAAACATTTTTTCTCCACATTCATGATAAAATAGTGGAAAAAGACAAATCTTTTAACCTAATCAATAGAGAAAATGCCTGAGGTCAAACTGGGTATTCTTTATAGACTTATAGAAAATGGAGCAAGTTAAATGTACATGTTAGCCCCATGTTTATATAATACATTGTACCAATTACTACAGATAACAGGACTACTGTTGACTTGTTTGTTGTTGAGTTTTCAATTCCATAGAAAAGAAGAAAGAATGTAGATTAAGCCAAGAAACCCCATGTAAAGGGACAAGTAATCAGGATTTTTGTAATGCTATTTGATTGATTTTTCAAAATCAGTGATCTGGTGATATACATTAAAAGGGAACTGTTAGACAGTGTTGCCAGGTGTTACCGTAGTTTATCTGTGTAAGCATCACATTACATTTGCCAAATCTTAACAGATCTTTTTATGTTTACGTGTTAACACTGTAGCATTAGTAAAAGTAATACATTTTTTTTTATTCAGTACATTTCTAGTTAAAAGTGTAGAGTTAGATCTATATATGTACTGTACACTATACCCCATTTCATATGAGGAAACACATGGGCTGAAAATTAGTCAACTACGGTAATATGTCAAGTGTACTTATTGGCACTGCAACAAATTATATTCAGTGCATATTACTAGTTAAAAGTGTAGAATTAGATATATGTACTATACACTGTACCCCCTTTCATATGAGGAAACACATGGGCTGAAAATCAGTCAGCTACGGTAGTATGTCAAGTGTGCTCTTGGCACTGCATCAATTAATGTTAAGTTAGGTGAAACTTGAAACTCATTCACCCCTGAAATTTTATAATGAACTATTCCGACCTTTGAATTGGAAGAGTTCAAATGTGTCTTCAGGGGTAAATGAGTTAAAGGTTCAGTAAAGTTTCTTTTGAAGTTTTTTATTACCACTGTGGTTATACAGTAAGCTTCACATGCTGTTTTGGTGTTAGTGTAAAAATGATCACAACACTTTTTGATCCATTTATTTACCTGCTAATGTTATGAACTGTAATCTTTCTTTAATTGCACATAAGTAGTACCTGATACACAATTGTTTTGGTCCAAGAAATAGGTCAAAATGTGTAAATATACCCAAGTCGGCTAGGAATTGTAATTGGTCCGGCTAATTCACAAAAATGGTATAACCAACCCTCAAGACTGCGTTGATATCTCCACTCTTTTGAAGGTGTAGATAGATATACACCGTTTTTCCTGCTCATAACATTGGCCCTATTCCTGATTAGATTAAGACATTTTCCTTCCTACTTTGATAAAGATAATTCCTAAAAACTAAAATTCTAAAAACATAGCTTCTGGGATAAAATATTTTCTAAGTTAAAATTTCTATTTATAACAAATATATCTTTATGAAATCCTGCTCTCTTTATTAACTTATCCACCCTTAGAGACACATTTGAACTCTTCCAACTCAAAGGTTACAATAGTTTATTATGAAATTTCAGGGGTGAATGAGTTAAAAATGGGAAAGTGGATTTAGATGTTTTCGTACATCATCAGTTTTTAATTTTCAAGAAGTTGTCACTTGGCAAAATACCCTGGAATTATCTTCCTATAGCAATGTTTTGACGAATTTTTTCATATGTATGTTTTAAAATATGTCGACATACATGAGCTAGCCAGGTCGATATATAAAACCCACAGGAATACCCTGGACCTGTAGTAATGTTTCTGACGAATTCTTTCTTGTTTGTATGAAAATGTGTTGCCAGAAGATATCGAGACCACTGCATATATTTATAAAACACACAGGAATACCCAGGACCTGTAGTAATGTCTCTAAGTGCAAAGTGTGTTCCCAGTATATATATGCCACTATAATATTTTATTTATAAAATGGTATGGTATGTGGGGATAGTCATTCCCAATGAAATTCCACCATAATGTTGTGTTAGATATGAGACTGGATCCTGGCCTGGTGGTAAAAAATAGGTCGATGAAGGTTACAGCCAACTGCTTCAGATATAAACCTGCCTTAAGTAAAAGGGAAACTTTGGTGACTCATTGGTGTCCGTGCTAATGCTCATGATTCACATCCAATTATAAAAGGTGGAGTCTTGCTAACTTCTTTGACAGCACGTTAGATCCAGATTTTCATTAAAAATTTAATTAGAGATAAGAGGTAATGCTAATTAGGACAAGGCAAAGGAAATATGTTGTTAGTGACTGCCCAAATATTGTATTTAGCTGATTTTATGCAAGCATTGTTAAAATTTGTAACACAGTCGAAATCAATTTGTAAAATTAAAATTACGTTCATCTAGTATCAATACAGATATATTTACTAGTATTATCTTCATTTTTTGAAAACTGTAACACAGTTATTTTGTTTGGCCTGATATATTACAGATATGATAAATCTCAGTAGTTGATTGTTTTGACAGTATTTCCTTATTGCTGATAACTTGTAACTCACTAGAAGGATTTATCAAGGCTGATATGTACACTATCTGATAACAAGGATTTACACAATGAAGTACTTTAGCTTCAGGTAGACCATATGGGGGCGTAATCCCTCAAACAGAAATACTTTGTGTACCGGTCCAGCCAATGTATCCTCTGATATTTATAGATATTCAACATTTGATATAGCGCCCTATCTAGCTAACATAAGCCCCTCTAAAGCGCTTTACAGTACATAGGTATACAATTTTACACAGTCAATACAATTAGCATATATATTAATCAATACAATATTGAGGAATTCGTAGGAGCTGCCTTATCAGGTGCTAACTACTAGTCCTATGCCACCTGGCTAATATCTCCCTATGTGTGTATGCCTGTGTGTGTGCTGGAGATGTATTGTGTATTATATATGCAGTGTTTTACTTTAATTTAGTTGCATCCGTCTTGTTTCTCTTGAAAATTTAATGTTGTGCCATATACAACTAAAAAAATCAGTTACTGCATGACCTTGACTGTTCGCCAACAAGATATCAAAGATAATATGTGAGATAAAATTGAAAATAGTGGTTAGGCCAAATAAAACAAACTTCTGTTTCCGCTAACCCTACCTTCCCTAGATTTTCGTGCCTTACCCTAAAGTTTTGATTGGCATTTAGTGGTAGTGGTC